CATTCCCTCTTCCCTTATTCAAAAGATGACAACCGCTCTCTACTAGAGGATAAAGCACAAACTCCTTCACTGCCTTAACAGAAAAGAAGTGTGGAACCTCTGGGAGGCCAGAGGTTTGTATCAAGGTGTTGCCTTTTCATGCTGAGAGACTCTCTACCTGATGAGCCTGAACTCATGGTCTCATGTCTACTATTGACTTCTATTGTCCCTTAATGTTTCTTCTGCCTATCCGAATTCCTGTCATTCTGCCTTTTCTGACCTTGGGCAATAACGTCCTTTACTGGCCTTCTCTGGTAGTCCCATGTCAGGTCTGGTAGTCCCCACTGTGTTGCAGTGTATAACAACAGGACCCAAACTACCCAAGTAATTAACAGATTCCATAGCTCTGTGAGAAACTTAGAGGGCCCATGCCTCCAGGACTAAAGCTTGTGTGTAGACACTTGGGATCATACTACACATTGAAGAATGGCCTGGGCTGGGGGTATCTAAGATAGCAGAACAGAGACCTAAGAGTTGTTCCAAAGATGCTCCAGGCCATAGATTCTCTTAACTAATTTCCCAGGGGACTGTGTTCAGTCTGGATCGAACTCATAAGACAATTTAGAGTTTTTACACATCCAGACTGAATGCTGGTTGTAACCCTACTTACTAAATCTTGATGTCACAGGTTAGTTAGGGATAAAGTCAAGCTCCCTGCCATTGCTGCCACCACTGATCAGCAACCCATAAGAGTCTTGCCTTCCCTTCACTCCCTTCTGCATCCTTTCTCAGAGTGTGCCCTGGAAGTAATATCTTGACTGAGGGCATCAGGATTTAAGGACCCTGTGTACTCAGTCACACAAACTATCTTGGACCATCTGTAAATACCTGTAGTTGAGATATGGTAAAAATATCACAGGTATGTACCCTGACCAAGTCATTCATTGAGTGACCTTGGAAATATCACACATAAATGTCTCTGAGCCTTAATTTCTTCATCTATATAATGAGGCTAGTAATTCCTTCATCACAAGATTACTACCAGAGAGAGATGACACTCTCTGCTTCCACAAAGATGTATAGCCTTGGAAACCCCACACAGGGTGGCTATGAGTTGAAACTGACTTGATGACACTTAACAACAGCAACAAAATTATTAAGAAAATCAAAATGAGTTTGTCACATAGCAGGTACTTCACAAATACATATTTTTAATTATGAACAATCCAACTTGTGGAATGGAGAAGTCTGAATGACAAATTCCTTGACAATGTGTACTGTGCCCACCTCTGATTTTTCCTGCCCTGGTCTCCTTTCTTTGTTCTTTGCATGATTCCTCTACTCCCAAAAGTCTTAGCACATTATTTTGTATTTAATGACCGTCAGTGCCATTGAGTTGATTCTCACTCATGGTAACCCAGGTGCGTCAGAGAAGATCTATGCTTTATAGGAATTTCAATGGCTGAGTTTTTGGTAGATCACCGGGACTCTTTTCTAAGTTACCTCTGGCTGGACTCGAACCTCCAACCTTTCAGTCAGCAGCCAAGTGCATTAACTGTTTTCACCATACAGTGAATCCTATCTTCCATTAAAAGCGTATTTCATACATTTTTTTTATTGAGTCATATCCATAAGTCAGACTGCTTCCCCTGAGTCCCAAGGACCACAGAGGAAGCTTAATGAGATCCAGTCCCTCCATTAGCCACAAGGGAAGAGCTTACAAATCAGAAACAGTGGATCCTAAACTATCACCAACTTAGTCAAGAGTCAACATGACCAAAACTACTAAAACTAACTTTTCTGAGCCTCAGGTTCTTTCTCTGAAAGTGGATCTGAAGATGTCTTGTTGATCTGACAAAGAGTCTTGAAAGGACAAACTGGGATATTGTAGGTGAAAGGTAATGTGAGTGAAAGACTTTATTCACAGTTCAGGCAGAAGGGTATGTTCACTGACTCCAAGTACTAGCATCTACAGAAAAAAAGCAAACAGCTAAGTCCCCCACTTTCTCAGGGTGTCTTCCCTGTCCTTTTCTAGACCTGTTTAAGTCTATTTATTTAGATCTCCACTTCTGATCCATCCCCCAGGTTAAAGTCTGAGGCCAGCTGCCTTCCTAACAAGGGCTTGCTCTCTCCATGCCAATGGAGTCCAGCAGGCTGGTCATGAGCACTGCTTATGCAGATGGAGTCTCATGACTAGGAGGGCTATTGTGTCCAGGCACCAAGGCCCAGCCTTCCTATCTAGGGACACACTGGTGGTGTCAGGATCAGCTTGACTCCCAAGGAGAGAAGGGCCATTGTATTATGAGGGGAGGGGCATGGCAGAGTCCCCTGGTCCAAACACACACACACACACACACACACAATGAGGAGAACAAGGAGATGCTGCAGGGAAAAAGGCACTTCAAGATCAGTTAAGTCTGGATAACTGTTTAGACTCTGAGCCTCTGCTACCTTACCTGTAAGTGGGGGTGGCCGTATTTAACCTGCAAGGTTGTGGTGAACACCTGAGGTAATGTAATGATTAGGAAGCAGGAGTTTGGCACCTGGTAACTGCATTGATAGGAGTTTTGGTGGCACAGTGGTTAAGCACTTGACTTCTAATAGAAAGGTCAATGCTTTGAACTCCACAAGAGAAAGATAAGGCTATCTGCTCCCATAAAGATTTACAGCCTAGGAAAGTCTATGGGGGTAGTGCTATGAGTCAGAATTTACTTGACAGCAATGGATTTAATTCTGCTTTTCTTCCTTCTTCTTCTAGCTACCCTAATGTAAAAGGGAGAGAAAAGGAAACTAACATTTATTAAGCACCTTCTTTTTGTTGGCTGTAGAACATAGGCTTTTCTCATTGAATCTGTACAAGTCTGAAGAATTACAGCAGGGAAAGAGGGGTCTAGAAAGTGAAGTGAGAAGTGACAGCTGGTAAGAGACATGCTGTCTGTACTGGACTCCATGCTGGTCTGGTCCCAGTGGGGGATCTGAGTTCACTACTACTCCCTCCCCCCAGTCCCAAGCCAATATGGAGCCTGGGCCCCATGGGGACAACCACCTTTGTTATGGGAAAGAAAGGGGCTCAAAGTCAGTCTCCCAGGACATTGGCTCATGCCACTTTCTGCAGGCACAGTGACTACTGAATGTCACTCACCAATGACCTTCCTCACTCTCTGGGAGTAGCCTTCAAGGGAGACCTCTTCCAGACACTCCCAGATCTGCTCCCTCCCCTGCCTCTCCTTTGTTCCCATCCCACCTGCCTCCTGTCTTTATACTTCATGACCCATGCCAAACAGTTTACCATCCCCCACAAATACTATGTGCTCTCATCTCCATGCCTTCGCAGGTGTTGTTCCCTGGCAAAACGCCTTCCCTTCAGCTTCATTCTAACTCAGGCTTTCAGAGTCAGTCCAAGTGCCACTATGACCAGTGGGCCCTCCCTGGTTCCCTACGCCTAATAGCGAGAACGGAGCCCCTTTATCCATGCTCCCACAATGACCTGCGCACGCTGATTTCTACTGTTGCACTAACCAAATGATGATGATGTGATTCTTTAAAGCTCTTCTCATGGTGTAAGCTCTTAACTTGGTTCACAGAGATCGTACTTAAATCAGTGGTTTGCTGTGGGAAGTGGGAGAAGGCGGTAGGATAAAAATCACCTACAGAGGTTTTTTTAAACATCCTCTGTTTAATTCTCTCCAAGAGTCCTGGTATAGCACTGTAAGATAACCACTGGACTGTTAACCAGAAGGTCAGTGGTTCAAACCCACCAGCCACTCCTTGGAAACCCTATACAAAATCGCTTTGAATCGGAATTGACTCGGCAGCACTTAACAACAACAGCACAATTCTCTATCAGTGTATCTGGATGGCACAGATGGTTAAGTACTTGACTACCAATGGACATGTTGGCAGTTTGAGCCCATCCTGAGACACTTTGGCAGAAAGACTGCAGCCTTGAAAACTCTATGGAATAGTTCAACTCTGCCTACTGGTTGACATGAGTTAGTTAGCAACAACTTGATGGTAGCTGGTAATTCCCTCCCACTCCATATCAGAAGTGGCTGGGAAGAGGCCTAGGGTATGTGTGCTGAGAGAGAAATTCAGGACACAGTTATTTTGAGAAAAACTCTCAGGGTAATCTGATTTAGGATTTTGTGTCTTACGCTAACCCTCACTTTGGAGCAGGTTATATATACAGAGGTATCTCTGGTAGCATAGTGATAATGAATTGGGCAGTTAACCTCAAGGTCAGCAGTTCTAAACTACCTGCAGTTCTATGGGAGAAAGATGAGGCTTTCTGTTCCCGTAAAGATTTACAGCCTCGGAAATCATATACAGGGTTGCTATGAGTCGGGACTGACTCCACGGCACATAACCACCACCACTGACTATACAGGGAGACAGGTAGAACACTCCCAGACCAATACTGTTTTGAGAAATCTATGTTTGCATACTCTAAGTGGCAAGAAGATACCTGTGTAATGTAAATGGTTTGCACTCGACTACTACCTGAAAGGCTAGCAGTTCAAACTAGCCTAGTGGTCATTTGGAAGAAAGACCTGGGTAAGCTGTCCTCGGAAAGATTGTAGGTGTTCTTCCAACTCATAGTGACCCAGGATAGGGTTCCCAATGACAGTCTGGTGGGTTTGCACCACAGACCTTGTGGTTAGCAGTTAATTGCTTATCCTACAGCTCCACACCAGCATTACAACCCAAATGAACTCAATGGAGCAGTTTTACTTTGTAACACATGGAGTGGCCTTGAGTTGTATCTGACTCGGGGGTAGTGGGTTTGGGTTTTGAGACTATCATGAAAGCATGGAAATAGAACCAGATGGGGGTACTGTGGAAAATGAGTGTCCGAGCACTTTCAAGGATCTGTGTTTGGAGAAGTGAAAAGTTGGTCTGGAGAAGGTCTTGAAATGGGAAATTCCCTCCCTGTTGCTTTAAAGAGCCCCCTGATGATGATCACCTGCCAGTAGTAACAGACTCCCTTTTTCTCAGGTGTGAGCAAGTTCCTGAGGTGGTGACAGACCTACCCTGCGACTTTCAGGCAGATTCAGCTACCAGATCCCAGAAAACATGACCCTGGCTGGTAGGTACAAAATCTACTTCTGTGATGGGGACATGGGAACATGAGGTGGTTCTGTATACACCAATACACATTTCTACTTATATGTGCACAGAAATAACATTAATCAAAAAGACTGACAGGAAATACACCAAAAAAGTTAAACTGTTAACACTGTGTCTACAGTCAACTTTTCATTCCTTTTGCTCATCTGAATTAAAAAAAATTTTTTTTTTTTTTACAGTAATCATGCATTATCTCTACAGTTAAGAATGTTTTCAAATTCATAAAAGGTCATGAGGGAGAGTGTCTGTGCTGGGTGTAAGTTTAGTGCCAAGGGAACTCAGCATGTGGGTAGCTCTCAGGGACACACAAAACTGGCTGTGAAATACACAGAGCAGGGAAGGGGTGGGCAGGACCCCAAACCTCAGCTTTTACCTGCGACCTAACCCACTAGTTCTCATGATGCTCCCAACATTAGACATAGTAGGTGGTGGTGGGGACATTACTCCAGCCTATGGGGACACCATTCCCCTGTGTTTGATCACAGTGTTGGGAAGGTCAAAGAAAGCTCACAGTCTGGTGAGGGTATTCCATCTACTCCCCAACTTCTTCACCTGGGGGCAGGACTGCTAAGTACTGGAGCAAAATAAATGGAATATCCTGGGACAAGTGTGGGAAGCTAGAGAGATCAGTCCAAGGTACCAGGCTGGGAGACCACTGGTGTTTGGGATCTTTCCTGGAAGGCATCTTTCTTTTGGTACTATGAGAGGAGAAGATGAAGTAGGAGGAAAGAGAAGGTCATGTGGGTGTTCTAGAGGCTCAAGAGTTAATAAGTGAACAGAGTAGGTTTGAATCACACCAGAAAATCGAAACAGGAGAGCACAGGTCAAAAGGAACAGCTGCATCCTAGCCCAGTTATGGTTCTGGGCGGTTTGGGCAGCTGTGTGGTGCCTGGGAGTCCAGTCTGCCCAGGGACCCAAACCCACACAGATGCTCCCTTCTGAGGCTAGGTGGGATTCACCATCTTCACCTGTCTGGGATGTTTCTGCAGCCTACAAGGAGAAGATGAAAGAGCTCCCCCTGGTGTCCTTGTTCTGCTCCTGTTTCTTGGCTGATCCCCTGAATAAGTCATCCTATAAATATGAAGGTAAGTGAAGACTGGTGGTGGTTATGTGCCCTGGAGTTGGTTCTGACTCATAGCAATCCTGTATAGGGTTTTGAGACTGTAAATGTTTACAGGAGGAGAAAGCCTCATCTTTCTCCTGTGGAATGGCTGGTAATTTCGAACTGCTGAGCTCAAGGTTAGCAGCCCGGCTTGCAATCACTACGCTATCAGAGCTCCTTAAGTGAAGACTACAGTTATGGAAATACAGAGTGAAGGTCTCCTTATTACAAACAGTATCCTCTATCCTGATTTCATGAACTATTCCCATGTCACATTTTCTTTCCCAGAACCAGTAAAATCCTAACATTTGAATCTGAGGGTCTAAGCACAACGATGAAAGCCAGATGTTTGACTCTAGCCTGGGGGACTAGACAGCCAAGTTCAAGGTCTGAGTCAGACTCTTCACAGTGTGCTCTTGAACTTAGCATAACTGCTGTTCATTCATTTAAGAAATCAATGCTGTGGAGAATGCTAGGATTAACCAGATAGAAAATTTCCACCAGCTAACACTGAGATTAGAAGAGAAGATAATACAGTGTAAGTAGCTGGAATCTATGGCAGATCCTTTTCATCCCTGAAAGGTCATGAATGCGGAAGGAGAGTCTAGAGGTGAGAAGAGAATTTCTGATGCAGCACCCCAAGGAGGCTGTGTGATAGTGATATTGAGTGGGACCTGGTGTCAAGGCGAATCCCAAGACAGTGGCAGGGAACACACATGGGAATAATTAGACTATGAATAAAAAGTTGCTGTTGAATCAACACTGACTCATGGCGACCCCAAGTCTGCCAGAGTAGAACTGTGCTCCATAGGGTTTGCAAGGACTGATTTTTCCAGAACTAGGTCTCCAGAACATTCTTCCCAGGTACCCCTGGGTACACTCGAACCCCCAATCTTTCAGTTAGCCTCCCAGTATGTGACTCATTTGCACCACCCGGGGCTGTCTGTTAGGGATTAGGTCCCCTCTTAATTTCCTGAGTGTCAACAAAGAGGGATGGGTTTGGTCTGGAACCGAGAGATGGGAGTGTACTCTGATTACCTGAGATTGTTTTTTCTGTTTAGGCTGGTGTGGGAGACAGTGTAGGAGAAAAGATCAAAGCCAGCGGAAAGACAGTGCTGACTGGAGAGAAAGAAGAGAGCAGGGTAGGAGGAATGAAGGGGAGAGATGTAAACAGGCTGAGTGATCAGATCGGTAGTTGAACATTCAGTGGAAGGGTGGTGGGTGGTGGATAAAAGCCACCAGTGTTTGTCACCATAGATTACAATTTGAGCAAGGGCTCAACTCTGGGAGGACGCCTGTCAAGAAAACAAAAGCCAAAGCAGCTAATGTTGCTGCGGCTGTTCTCAGAAATTACGTGTCTTGGGACCCCTTCTTTGGAGCCTGAAACCTTATATGGTTACAAACTCCTTTGGCCCATGCAGAGCCATCCAACCATTGGGCCTCTTGACCTTAGGTACCAATGTTCAGGCCTGACCCAGAACCTTGGTGATGAAGTTTTCCTTGGGCCCCCCAGACCTCCCTGGATAGCATGTGCATGTTTTATGGGTGCTCACATATTGTTCAGAGGTCAAGCAGTGCCTTCTCTATCTCTGCAGCAGACACGGTGGACCTGAACTGGTGTGTGATTTCTGACATGGAAGTCATTGAGCTGAACAAGTGTACTTCGGGCCAGTCTTTTGAAGTCATCTTGAAGCCACCTTCCTTTGATGGGGTGCCTGAGTTCAATGCTTCCCTGCCTCGGCGGCGAGATCCATCACTGGAGGAGATCCAGAAGAAATTAGAAGCAGCTGAGGAACGCAGGAAGGTACGTGTTGCACTTTCTTTCCTTTGTCCCTGCGTGAGGGGGTGGGAGTTGGAAAAGAGAGGCAGTGGTCCTGAGCTAGGACTGAGTCACCATCAACCTATCTTTAGGCAGCACCTCTCATGTGCAGAGCAGAAGGTAAAACATGACTGAGAGAAACAGAAGTAATAGCCCTGGCCCCCTGTAGAAGCTTACAGTTTAGTTTAAGTGGTGACTTTATATGCACAGTGATAAAAATAGAGCATTGAAAAGTATTAAGGATTTAGGGAACAGCCACACAATTAAGGGAAGCGTTCCTTAATTATGGGAAGTAGGGAGAAGGACATGGTTTGGTATATTTTCACCCCCTTAGCATGCCTTTGAGGTTCCTGGGTGGCAATGGTTTGTCCTGGCAGTTTGAACCCACTCAGCAGCACCATGGAAGAAAGATTTGGCAATCTGCTTTTGCAAAGATTACAGCCAAGAAAACCCTATGGGGCAGCCCTATTCTGTAACATATGGGTTCCACAAGTCAAAATCAACTTAATGGCAATGAGGTGGGGTTTTTTTTGTATTAGCATGATTTCTGACATTTCCTATTGATTCTTCCTGGTCCAACTCAGATGCTATCTTTGTGTAAGCTTTTCCTCAAGCAGAAATTAATCTCCAACTTCTTAAATTGCTATAGCACTTTCTCTCTACCTCTACCTGTTTAGGACTGTATCACATGTTACTTGGGATTATTGTTATTTATATATGTCCTGCACCTACTTTCTTTTCCAAGTTGCTAAATAGTGCCTGGCACAACATAAGGTCGGTTAGTATTTTTAAGTGAATGAATGAGGCAATGAGAAAAGGAAATCCAAAGACATTTAGAAGAAGGCTGAGAAAAATCATAGTAGTATAGGAGGCTTTGAAGATGGTGGGAGAATTCAAGAAATGTCCTTGTTTTTTTGTTAATGGACCAGGCACTGGGTTCAAGGAGTGTTGGTGATAAAAATGTACCACCAGCATGCTCACCTTCAAAGCCTTCTTTCTTCCTGTACGCTGTTTTTAGTACCAGGAAGCTGAACTCTTGAAACACTTGGCGGAAAAACGAGAACATGAGCGGGAAGTGATTCAAAAAGCCATTGAGGAAAACAACAACTTCATTAAGATGGCTAAGGAAAAACTGGCCCAGAAGATGGAATCCAATAAGGAGAACCGTGAGGCCCACCTTGCTGCTATGTTAGAACGTCTGCAAGAGAAGGTAAGTGGTCCCAGAGTAGGGAGGAGGCTTCTGAGATACTGTCTTTCTTTCATGGCAAGTATACATGGATCTACATGCCATTTCAGGGAGGAAACAGCGACAGGCAGGAATGGGGATTTTCTATTAGGCTGCATCCTTAGAGAGTTCCAGAAAATGATTTGGGAGGTCAAAGGCAAGAAATGTGAACCTAGCATTGGAACTCCTGGGGGGGACATTGTGCACAGTTGTATAATTAAAGTTTCTCACTGTCTTAGTGAGATTAAGTCTCTTATCTTCTAGAGAAAACCTGCCTAGTGCAAAGGAGTATTGATAGACAAGCACAGTCTATCTCTAGCTTCATCCTTGAATGGACTGATTTGTTTATATGAAAGATGCTGACATGAGTTTTCGGCTCTAAGCCAAAGGAAGGATGAGCTGAGTTGCCCATTGAGCAGGAAACATGATTCTTTACAATCCTTTTGACATGGACTGAATGAGTCACAGGTCTTTTCAATATGCTGCGTTTTGCCAATAAACCAAATGGTGTCACCTAAAGATGAGAAACATGAGCGACTGGGGTTGGTCTGACCTGTCAGCAGAATAACAGCCCATTCTGTTGAAAACATGCTGGCCTCATTTTCTCAGTCTCAAGGCTGCCCCAGTTTCTCCTGCAGCTCCTGGGAGAGCTCCAGCTCTGTGTTTTATTTCCAGGAGCCGCCTGCTGCGCGGTGACTCCCGGGACCTGATCAGTGGCCTCGTCCCATGGTGAGCAGCGTGGTCTTTACTCCTTCCTGCCCATCCACCTATAGTCTCAGGCCTTTGACAACAGCTACTAGAAAGTTCTGGCTTTCTTCACAAAGGATCTGAATGTTACATTACCCTGGAGTTAGCCAATGTGTGGCAGGTCCTCCCCTCTGATGATTGTCTTCCAAGGGGCAGCAATATCTCCACCAAGTATTATATGATAAGGAAGTGATCCGGGTCTGACTTTAGGCCTCCCCAATTTGAAGGGGGGTTTGGAACAAACTCTTGAAAGAAAAAAAAAAATCTACATGGTGGATTGGATGGGACATGGTCTCTCAGGAAAAATTCAAAACATAATTGAGGGAAGACCCAATATTATTATTATTTGATGGACTAGAAACCCAAGTCAGAGAAGGTTAAACGAATTTGCCACAGTTAATATGCAATGGAGGTGATACTTGTTGTTGTTAAGTGCCGTGGAGTCAGAACCAACCCATAGCGACCCTGTACAGGGTTTCCGAGGGTGTAAATCTTTATGGGAGTAGAAAGCCTCATCTTTCTCCCGTGGAGCAGCTGGTAGTTTCGAACTGCTGACCTTGCGGTTCACAGCCCGAGTCGTAACCACTACGCTACCAGAGCTCCTTGGAGGTGCTACTAGAGCCCAGCATTTTTGGCTCCAAGTCTAGGTGGCTCTGTCATTGTCTCTATTAGGGAGACCAGCCCACAACTGTCCTACCAGCCTTTTGTCAGTAAGGGCTGCAGTGGAGGTCAATGAAAGGGAATCTGAAGGTCTTTTATTATTTGCAAATAGAACTCCCCTGGAAATGGAGGTAGATTTAGAGTTGGAGTACTGGTGAAGACGCATATCCTGTAGATGAGTTTTGGAGGTGAGTTAAAACTCAAAGAAGTAAGGTGTTAGTAGCAAACATCTTAGTGGGTATCACTTCTCTGGGGCACTGGTCTCTACTCAGCCTGGTAAACGCAAGAGATAGGATGGGAGCTAAGTTTGTTGTTTTGCCTTATACCAGGGAAACCTTCAACAATGCCTTCTGTGCAAGCCTATATGAGTGTGCCACTAACCAAATGTACCAGACTCACCTGGAATAAAGTTTAAAAGTATAGACACTTGAACCGTACCTCAGATCTAAAGTTATATCAACAATGGGCTAAATATAAGAACAATTAGAAGACAGCACAGGACTGCTCAGTGTTTGCTGTTGTGCATAGTTGCCATGAGGTTGAACTGATTCCACAGCACCTAACAACAACATCCCAGATCTAGTAACTTAGACCTCTAGAGATGACGTCTGAGAACCTATAGTTTAACAAGCTTTCTAAGTCATACTTTGCTATGGGAACCACTGCCCAGACATGCCAATTTCTGCTCCCAGAGTCATAGAAACTTTTCGGGCTTCTCCAGGGACAGTTTTGTACCCTAAGGTATATCCTGGGAAACTTCATTGTCTCAGTGAGTCTACTCCACACTAATTCTTGATACTTGGTTGCAATGATACCAGCCTCCAGTAGACATAACATTTATGAAACACTCACAATGTGCAAGAAAGGAGCCCTGGTAGATGTAGTACATTATGTGTTGGGATGCTAACTGAAAGGTCAACAGCCTGAATCTACCATGGCTCTGTGGGAGAAAGATGAGGCTTTCTACTCCCATAAACATTTAGTCTCAGAAACTCCATACAGGGTCACTATGAGTCAGAACTACACGGGACACCACCAAGTGCCAGGAGTCATGCTAGAAATTGGAAGATACAAAGATGAAAATGTCAAGAGCCCTACCTACAAAGAATGTACCATCTCATAGAAGCCACAGATGAGCAGTAACCTAAGGCAGACCATGATAAACCCCTGCAGTGAACACCACAGTCACAAAGGTAAAAGGGCTTTCCAAACACCTCCCTCTTTTAAAGACCAGGACAGTGAAGTCTGATCCTGAGGTGAATTATACAAGGTCACACAGCTGATGGGTCTCTGAAGCCCAAGTCCCCAGTCTTTGGTGTTTCCTCATGCAGTGGAATTGGGCAACATTTCCAAAAATTCTTCTGGCAATTATTATCATTGAAGGGCCTTCATCTTCTAACAAGGGTTGTGTGTGTGTGTGTGTGTATGTGGATGTGTGTGTGGGTGGGTCGGTGCATTAAAATAACTCTCACTAGGAGATGGCCAAGAAACAAAAGCTGCAGTTAAGTTGCATGTGGAGCTTGCAATAAGGCCTGTTTGCTCCATCCTTCTTCTAGCATTGTTGTTGTTGGTAAGTGCCTTGGAGTCAGTTTTGACTCATAGTGACCCTGTATAGGGTTTCTGAGGAGTACCTGGTGAGCTTGAACCACTGACCTTGCAGTTCAAACTGACCTTGCAGTCCAGCGCGCCACACCAGGACTCCCTTCTAGCACTGGTGGTGGTGGTGGTGGTGTGTCGTGGAGTCGGTTCCCACTCATAGTGACGTGGTATAGGGTTTTTGAGGCTGTAAACCTTTACAGGAGCAGAAAACCGCATCTTTCTGCAGTTCGAACTGCTGACCTTAAGGTTAGCATCCCAACCTGTAACCAGTATGCTACCAGAGCTCCTTCTAGCTCCTCCTACCTAGCTAGGCCTAAATGACTTCTTATATCAAGTCAAGCAACAATCCGTCTCCAACTGCAGAAGGACCAAGTGAGGGAGGGAGAGGCTGATGAGGCATGAGGTCACTGTGAGAAGGTTCCCCTATTGGAGGGTGAACTCACGTCAATGAGCAGAACTCTCCTGCACCTGCACCAGCAGGCCTTTCCCACCTGCCTCCTGTGTGTCTTGCCTACCATTCTGCCCCTTCTCAGCCGCCTTTTGCAGACACTGCTCTCCACTTCCGACTTCCGGTGTGAGTCATTCTTTACTTCTGGATCTCGTGCCCCATTGCTTCCTTTTATCTAGGAGCAGGCTTGTGTGAGCCAACCTTTCACCTCCTTGTCTTCCCAGGACAAGCACGCGGAAGAAGTGCGGAAAAACAAGGAGCTAAAGGAAGAGGCCTCCAGGTAAAGCCCAGAGGCCAACGAAGTTTCCAGGACAGACGGACAGCTGCTGCAGCTCCGCAGTCCCCGAAGCAGCCCTGACGCCGGCTGCTCTCCCAGCACTGGGGTTTGGGGGGAGGGGGAGGGTGGCCCAGGGGTGTTTCCTCTGCTTTTGGTGTTTGTGAATGTGAAGAATTGACCAGTGAAGCCATCCTATTTGTTTCGGGGGGAACAATGATGGGGTGGGAGAGGGGAGAGATGGAGAGAGGTTGGGAACCCGAGATGGAGAACTCTAGGGCATTGCAACACGGCCCACTGTGGACTCAGGTCACGCCCTCTGCGTTTCTTCACATCGCAGTCTGGACATTGAACATCCAGGCGCCGTATTTAGGGAAGTTGACAACTGGGGCAGTAGAAGTTCGGGGGGGCAATGCAGTCCTGGTGGAACAGTGGACGCACAAGCCCTGCAGGAGGGGGGTGGGTGGGGCCCGAAGGCATTTCCACCCTGGAACAGGTGGGATGAGGCATTTTGTGGTGCCAGGGTCTGAGTGTGTGTGTTTTAACTGTTCATTTTTGATCATCATGACAAATGAAACATTTACTCCAAGTCTCCAGTACTTTATTTCCTGAACTTGTCATTTGGGTGACAGGATATTCTTGAAATCTGTTTTTCATCATCAGGTGGCAGATACCACCTGATGTTCCCTTAGTTTTGCCATCAAACCATCTGAGGTGCTGGGAGAGGTAGGTTGGACCATGGCAGTCTTTGATATTAATGAAAAGTGAGCGAAGTTTCTTTTTTGTTTTTAATTCCTTTCTATGCTTTCCCTTGAGAACACTGAATTGATAAGATAAAGAAAGCATTTGTCCTTTTTATTACTGACATTCTAATATGGTCCCCAAGATGCATAGTCAGAAGGAAGTCCTCCTTACTTTTGGGGCTTGGGATTGTAGGTGAGCGAAGAAATTAGTGGAAAGCAGAAAGGGACATTTCAGATCCATCTTCTGCAGAACACAGAGCCATGGCTAGGGAAGAAGTCTCATCTTTCCCCCAAACAGGAGGGGGTGGGATGGACAGTAGGAACAGGATCCCAGAAGATTGTCACCACTCTGCCTCACACACTAGGTAGTTTTGTACAGCTTTACAAAGAAACCCTTTGGTATTATTATTCTTTTTTTCACAAACGGTACTGCAATTTAGCTTTATTTTAGGATGGGATGACAGGAAGGATCAGAGAAATAATAATAATGTAATAGCAGTGCTAATACAAGGTAAGTGGTTCAAACCCACTAGCTGCTTTTTGGAGATGCTGTACAGAGTCGTTATGAATTGGAACTGACTCAACGGCTCTTAACAGCAAAGTACTTAAGCAAGAGTCCCTGGGTGGCACAAATGGTTAAAGGCTTGGCTATTAGCTAAAAGGTTGGTGGTGTGAACTCATTCAGAGTCAGCTTGGAGTCTTCAGATCTGATCCGGTCTGATGATCTGCTTCTGAAAGGTCACAGCCTGGAAAATTCTAGCACACCTGTGATCACCATAAGTCTCAATTTGGCAGCAACTAGTAACAATAAAAACACATAGGCAGCACTTACTATTTGCCTGGCAATTTTTAAGGCTCATGTATATACATTATCTAGTTCCGTGGGAGAAAGATGAGGCTATCTGCTCCCATAAAGATTTACAGCCTTGGAAACTTCTGTACAGGGTTGCGTTGACTCGGAGCCGACTCCACGGCACATAACCACCACCACCACAACAATTTAATCTTCGCAACAACTTTATGAGGTAGTTATTCTTATGGTTCCATCTCACAGACAAAGAAACTGAGCTATAGGAAGGGTATGTAACTTGCCCAAAGTCCCACAGATAATAAATGTGGTAACAAGGTTTTGAATTCCAGCAGTTTGCTTTCAGTCCATGCTTCTTGACTTGGAATCAGTCACAAGATGTGAGTCCTAGAGCAATAATTTTCAGACTGAAAGTGCTGACTCACTAGATTCTGTGCTCAGCTTAGTGGGTCTCACCCAACTCTTTTCTTTGGAATAGAATAGAATACAAAATTATCAAAGTGAAGTGCAAGTGGAAACGAAGGTATTGTTTATATTTGAGTATGTATGTTCTAGGTCGGGACCTGAAATTTATTTCTCTCTAGAGGTTGCAGTCAAAATCTTTGAAAGATGCTGCTCTAGAGTGAGGATGGAGGTCAGATCTGGGACTCCAGGTTGCAACTCAGCGGACTGCAAGAAACTGCCGTGCTTGAGAAAGCAAGAGGCTGTCGGTGTGGGATCAAAAGCTATCTTTGGAGCAAAAGGGAGACAGAGGATGGCATAAAGATTGTATTCTCACAAATTTACCTCTTTGAGAGTCTTGATCCTCTACTAATGTCCAAGGAGGAAATTTCACTTCTGTCACTCTTCCATTCAATGACCGTGCTTGCATCAATTCACCAACAAACCCACACAGTATTGTTTTATGTCTCCATGCCTTTGCGCATGCAGTTCTCTCAGTTTGGTTTGCTTTTCCCTGCCTGGCTGAATAGAAGCCTTCTAATTCTTCAAACTCAGCTAGATATTAAATCCCTTGATTCTGTCAGTACTTCTCATATGCTTTGATTACTGGATAGTTATTTGTTACACATCTTTTTCTGATACTAGACTTGAAGTTCTTTAAAAAACAAAAATTTCTTTTATTAATATTTTGTGTGCCTGGCAGTGGTTGCTCTAGAATTTCTGTATAGAATGGAATTAGGCACAGCAGTCTTGTCACATTTTTCCCTGATCCCTCTCATGTCTCTCGGGGCAGAGGGGGGCAGATGCGGGGGTGGGGTGGGGGGGAGAAGCGGTGTCTAAAGAATTAATCCCACTAAGTCGCTGCTTCTCAGTCACTTACAAACAATACACATTCACTTAGAAGCTCCTTATTGCAAAGCGAAAGTACACTTCAAAGAGAGAAGTAGGTCTGTCTTCTTGAGTGAAGAAGATCTGGTAGAATTAGAGAGTGTAGATAAGTCGAAGTGAAAGTACACTTCAGAGAAAGAAGTGGGTTTGCCTCCATGAGTGAAGAAGACACTTTGGGGTTAGGGTGCACTGGCTTATAAAGGTATGGGGTCTCTTTCTCCAAGAGTGGGCTAATACATATTGATTAGGAGGCGTAAAGTTGTTAGGTGCCATCGAGTCAGTACCGACTTTTACTGACCGTATGCACAACAGAACGAAGCACTACCCGGTCCTGGGACTACCTTACAATTGTTGCCACACTTGAGCCCATTGATGCTGCCATATTGCCAATCCATCTCACTGGGAGTCTTCCTCTTTTTCTCTGACCCTTGACCTTACCAAACATGATATCTTCTCCAGCGATTGCTCCCTCCTGACAATATGTCCAAAGTGTGAGAGATGTCATCTGACCATCTTGGTCTCCCAGGAGCACTCTAGCTACACTTCTTCCAACACAGATCTGTTGGTTCTTTTGGCAGCCTATGGCACTTTCAATATTCCTCTCCAACACCTAACTCAAAAGCATCAATTCTTCTACAGTCTTCCTTATTCACTGTCCAACTTTCACACGCACATGAGGTTATTGAAAATATCATGGTTTGCGTCAGGCACACCTTAGTCTTCAAGCTGACAGCTTTGCTCTTCAACACTTTAAAAAGGTCTTGTGCAGCACATTTGCCTAATGCACATTTGCCTTGGAGGTGTAGTATGTTGAATATTCATCATTTTTTACTAAAGGGGTGCAAGCTTCTTGGAAATGGAGTGCCTTCTGCAGTTGTCAGCTTTAGGTACTATCTTCATGGATTGTCTGCCTGCGACCATCTGCCTCTATCAGCGTTTCTGATCCTGAGATCCTTATCTCTAGCTCCAGGCTTTTCTCCTCAATGTTACTATTCTTGTTGGACTAGAGATTTCCTCCCCCCTTTCTTGATCCCTGTCTAGTAGGAGAGGACTCAGGTCAAAGGGGTGGATATGAAACCAGGATAAGAGAGGCCCAGGGCCCAGGGGTCCTAACTTGTCCCTGACAGTCTGATAGGGGGAAAAAGCCAAGGGGTTTGAAGCTTCATTTGTATAACACTTTAATATAAGCAACATATTTAAGAGTGAGAAGACAGTGTTAGCTGCATGTATCAAAAACTGGGAGGCTTGTGATTAAGATTATAAGGAAACTAAAATTCCCCTCCAAGTCTCCTTCCTTCCCCTCACACTCCCCACCCCTCCATCACATTAATTTTCAGAGCCTTACACTGAAAACTGAAGACTCAAATGATCCGCTTGGCATGGGCCCAGTTTCCAAACTCTACTCCCATCAAATCTCTGCATTAAAAGGGTTTACAAACCAACTGAGACACATGAAAACAGTAAGGCAATGGTTCTTAAAATTTCAATTTACATCAGAATCCCTCGGGGCTTGTTAAAATGTAGATCCCTGTGCTTTCGGTATTGGTATTTGTTAATGAAGATAACTGACCAGACTTACTGAAATCTCTTTTGAGCATGGTGCCCTGTTGTTGTTGTTAAGTGCCACTGGTTCCACTAAAGAGTTTCTGAGGAGTGGCTGGTGAGCTTGAACCACTGACCTTGCAGTTCAAACCAACTTTGCAGTCCAGAATATTAACCCACAGAGCCACACCAGAACCCCATGGTGCCCTAGAACCTACATTTTAGAAGTAAATTTCCAGGTTTTTAAGAATCAATCATGATCATAGTTTGAAAAATTCTATAAAATTAAGAATGCTGTTGTGTGAAGTGCCATTAAGTCAGTTCCCACTCATAGTGACCCTGTATGGAGTTTTCAAGGAGTTTGAATCGCCAACCTTGTGGTTCAAACCAACCTTGCAGTCTGGTGCATTAATCCACAACACACCAGGATTCCCATAATTAAGAATGGTTGGTTGTTATGTGCCTTGGAATCGGTTCCAACTCATAGCGGCACTGTATAGGTTTTCTGAGGCTGGTAGCAGAAAGTCTCATCTTTCACCTGTGGAGTGGCTGATAGATTGGAACTGCTAACCTTGCAGTTAGCCGCCCAGCTCGTAATCCACTACGCTACCAGGGTTCCTTATAATTAAGAATAA